AAAGGAGTACATGAAGCTTCTTTTCCCCGACGTGAAGTGGAAGGGGAGCGAGCAGTGGTCAGAGCGGTTCCGGAAATGGTGGAATCTGAGCATGCGCAGGAAGACGAAGATTGCCCTGAAAACCGCCGCACGTAAGATTGTGTTTCCATTATGCCGTATGCTTTTTTGTGTTGTCTTACGGTTTAAGAGTGACTAACCCATGTATCTTCCAAATGTCTATGCGTGCGCAGATGTCGCTGAGCAATGCCAGAATTTTGGCAGTTCATGCAGGACCAGCGGCATGAGCACGGCATTGAAACCCGCTGGATTATCAACGCCGACCAGACACCGCTGTGGCTCGAGATGCCCGCCACCACCACTGTGGACCAGACGGGTGTTCGTTCGGTGCCCATCAGGAGTGCGGGGTACCATAAGGAACGCGTGACCGTCATGTTGGCTTGCACGGCCGACAGGGAGAAGCTGAAGCCGTGGATCTTCTTCAGGCGCAAGATGGTGCCGAAGGGTGATTTCCCGCCAGATACATCATAGCCCCTCTTGCCGTGTTTTTAATTTATCACATGTTGTAACTAACACATATCTTTTTACTGTGCTTCGTATGGAAGATGTGGTCGTGGCGGTCCACCCAAACGGCTGGATGGACGCCGACAGAGTCATGCGCTGGCTTAACAAGTGCATCAAGCCCTTCACCCGGCCCCGGTTCGGCAGGCATGCGAGGAGCGCCATGGTTGTTCTGCATTCTTACCGTGGGCACCTTACGGACGCCGTGAAGGAGAAGTTCGCCGACCTCGACATCGTGCCGGCGGTGATCCCGTCGGGCTGTACGGGGGAGGTACAACCCCTCGACGTTTCGATCAACAAGTCATTCAAGGTCACAATCCGCCAGCAATACCAGTGCTGGTTTGAGGAGGAGGGCCAGGAGCGGCTGACGCCCCCCGTATGTTCTAACGGTCCCGTTCTGACATGTGGTGCAGGGAACATCAAGAAGCCGTCCCATGCGGTGGTGCTCAAGTGGATCTCACGGACCTAAGAGGACGTGCCACCTGAATTTATCAAGAAGGCCTTCCTCACCTGTGGTATCAGCAACGTGTTTGACGGCAGTGAGGACGGCCTCGCCATGGCGCACAGGCGGAACCAGCTGAACCACGAGGTCGATGTCGATGACCAGATCGTCGCCAACAAATTCTTTGGCAACAACTGCGAGGAGCCTGAGTCAGACGACGAGTAGATTCCAGCTAGGAATGTAAAACTTCTAGCTGTGTAGTGAGAATATTGGATGAGAAGCTTGTGTAGATTTCATGTTGCAGCCTAGCCCCTAGTGTTTAGTAAAATAATTGTGAAAAAAAACCCCCTGAGGTAAGAGATGCGCTTATAATAGGTACAAGGATTCTAATGTGAGAATCATAAGCATAGTGAGGAGCCATAGCTAGGGTTAGCTAGCTAGGCAAGAGAGAAATGAAGAAAGGAGGGGTTTCACTAGCAGCAGTTGGGATACATATAGAAAACCCTAACAGGGTTGTACTCGCTATAGAGCACCCCACTACAGGCTAGATAATAACATTCTGACACACCCCCATAGCCAAAGTGGGGTGTAATCAGCAGAGCACACAGTCATAGAGCAGGTTCACAATGGCAAGCAAAGCTAGAGGCTATCACAGAGGGCAAGTGAGGAGGAGGAGAGTACTGTGGACGAAGAGAAGATGGGAGGCAACGACTGAAGCTGCAGAGGCACGGGCACAAGAGCGGCTGACTCAGTGGCTACCGAAGCAAGGGCGACAGACTACTGGAGTGATTGGCTCCGCGGCTAAGACGAGCGGCAGGAGCAACGGACCCACTGGCGACTGGTGCAACAGGCTCACTGGCTACCGAAGCAAGGGCGACGGACTACAAGCGTTGCAGGCGACACGACAGCTACCTCCGCACAACCTCCTCCAACTGACCCACACCCTTGACACACACACCCTGCTGAACCCTTAACACCACTCCCACGTCACCCCCCTAGCACCACTCTTTCGGCTCCCACACACCCACCCCCTTGAGCGGCAGCTGCAGCAGCGGGAGACGGAGGAGGAGGAGCAGGGGACGGCGCACACAACCGGCACCCCCACAACCGTCCCCCCCACACTCCCCACCCCCAAACCCTAAAGCGGGTGGCACGGGGTAGGAGCGCGGGGGACGGCGAGGAGGACGGCGCGCGGCCCCCAAGGCGCCACCATGGGGCAGCGAGGGGCCGCGCGCGGCTCCTCAGGGCGCCGCGACGAAAAGGGCGTGGGCTGCGCGTGCTCCCCAGGGCGCCACCAAGGGGCAGCGAGGGGCCGCGCGCGGCTCCAGGGGTGGCGCGCGGCCCCCAGGGCGCAACCATGGGGCAGCGAGGGGCCGCGCGCGGCTCCCCAGGGCACCACGACGTGAAGGGTGGGGGCCGCGCGTGCTCCCTAGGGCGCCGCGACGAGTAGGGCGGGGGGCGCGCGTGCTCCCCAGGGCGCCGCGACGAGCAGGGCAAAGGCCGCGCGCGAGTCCCCAAGGTAGAAAACCGCCGCGCGCTTCGGGGCGCACGGCCGACAGAAAACCGCCGCGCGCCCCGAGCGCACAGCGGCAGGAAGAAGGAGTCGCACGCCACGGAAGTGCAACAGACAGAGTAGCAGCGGAAGTATTTAGGTGGGCCCATAGGCCAGGAGCGTAGATGCTCTGATAGCATGTGAGAATCATAAGCATGGTGAGGAGCCATAGCTAGGGTTAGCTAGCTAGACAAGAGAGAAATGAAAAAGGAGGGGTTTCACTAGCAGTAGTTGGGATACATATAGCAAACCCTAACAGGGTTGTACTCGCTATAGAGCACCCCACTACAGGCTAGATAATAACATTCTGACATCTAAGGGGTGCGCTTATGATTGAGGACCGGCCATAAGCGCATGGCTCCAGATAGAAGCGCCGGCGCCTTTAATCGGACGGCGCTACTATCCGGGGTGATACGGTAATAGGCGAAGAACGATTGGTCTTGTACACGATGATGGGGTGCTCAATAACGAATGTAGAAATTTTCCTTCCAACATTTACTAGTGATATAGCTGGAAAGTATATTGTGAGAATAGGAATTGTAAGGCAAGAAGGCTAGAGTGCCATGAAGCACTAACAAATATGAGAAGATAAGATAAGGAAGAATTTGGAAAAGTGTGTAACATTGTGGGAATGTACTGTAAGTTGAACATAGCAATAAACAATTGCACCGTTTTGAATCGCACATGTAGGACACTTGCTGGGTCAGTTTCCAGGTGTATGCAATTCGATGTGCTGGCTCTTTGTGCACGATGCTCCTATCCACATACTGTACCACGATTTGGAGTGAGATGACGTGAGGTGAGGTGAGGGCATTGGTTTGGCAGCCGTGTTCTATCCCCTCCTCTTCCCCACCATCCCCCACCGGCTCCCGCACTACACCACACCGTGGTAAGCAGAGATAGAATGAACATCGTGAGCCCCACAAACAACTGCTCCTACCTCGCCACCACTTGTTTGCCAAGCCGTGACCTGTCAAACTCTCCTTTTGTCAGACGATACGATTTTTTAACTGCACGCCCCGCCTATCATAATGCGGCGTTTTCCCAGGCGTGCCGCCGCACGCCGCTGCAGTAACGCCGGAGCTTGCGTTCTCCTCCTCGCAGCCCTCACGCTCACTGTTGGGGCTGCTGCTTGCTCCCTTTCCAGCGCTGCGACTAGTAGTACTAATCGCCCACCGCCGCGGCGGTGAGATGTCCCACTCCGTCTGCCCAAACATCACCTGCTGTCTCGCGCTCGACCCAGCCGCGCGCGACGCTCTCTTTTAAAGCTCTCCGTTAGCGGCGGCGCTGCGGCGGCCGACGCGAGCGCTGAAATCGTTCTCGAAAACTCGCAATGTGAGTCGGTTTGTCCAGTAGACAGAGGCTTTGTAACGCATGACCTACTCTGCCTAATCTACGGCTAACTTCCTAAAGTCAAACATCGAGAGACTTCCTCGATGAGAAATGACGTGAAGGAAATTGGGAAGGTTGAGTTGGAGAAGAACATTGCTTTGGTTTTCCCAACCCTCAACCTGGAGGCTTGGAACTTTCCAACCCAACAAATGTGAAGGTTGGGAAGTTTTCCAACCCAACCAAATGAATGCGCAAGGTTGGATTTCCAACCAATGGGAAGTTGACAGTTGTTGTTACAATCCACACAAAGTTTAAAACAACCATACAATTGTGCTAAGTTGGGTTTTCCCCAACCAAACTAAAGTGCCACATAGGCTCCAAGCCTATAAGCTCCCCAACCATGGAAGCCATGGTTGGGAAGAGCCCCAAGGGGTATGATGGAAGGGGTTGGAGCTTTCAAGCTCATTCCTACTTCCCAACTCCAACTTACCAACTTGGAAATGGGATCTCTCTAAGTTACTTTGGCTCTCCTAACAAGCCCTCCTACACAACTAGACTTGTGTTATTTTCAAGGATAAGCTCTACAAGAAGCTACTTATCTACCCAAGTTTCTTCAAGAGCTACAACTTCTCCTCTCAAGATCCTTTAAGCTTAGGCTAAGGCTTGATTATCCCTTGGTGGGATTAATTAGATAATTTCAAGCATTGTAACTTTGATTTTATATAAATTGTCAAGGATGATTTACATTGAACCCGCGGTTGCTTGTTGTTATAAGGGCCGTGGTTGTTACATTGGTATCTAGAGCTAGGGTTATCCTAAGCCTAGTGGGGATTTTGCCCCTAGAGATTTTTTTTTTTAGATCTTAGAGTTGTGATTTCTCTTTAAAGAGAATACTCAAGATCTGGAAGCTTGAAGAGTTCAAGATCTACAATATCTACAACTGCAATTTCAAGCTAAGAAGAGAGATTTTTATCTCTCTTGCCCACCTTTTGGTGGAAGACTCTCTACTGTTGAGTAGTGGAGTATAAACTTGGATCTGGAGGATTTGTTGAGGGTTATACAAGTTCTCTTCATTGAGATTTGGATAAACCCTGCCCTTTCACTTGGTGATTGGGAATGCTTGAGAACAAATCTGTTACCTTTGGTGACATTGGATTATTCTGTAGAAGAAATTTCTTATATAAGAATTTCTTGCTTTACCATTGAGTTGGTAAAAGGTTTTTAACAGAATCAACCCAGATCTTACAAGCTCCCTTAATCCTTATGGCATCTGGCCAAGAGAAGGATATGGCAAGGGAGGAAGGGCCCACTGCACCTAATGAGGTGGTGAACAATGCTGCTGACATTGACCTCAATCAAGATGAGGCAATGGATGACATTGAGCTGGATGATATTGAGGACTTGGACCTGGACCTTGGAGATGAGCATCACCATGGTGAAGCTGAGAACCATGATGAAGCACAGAACCATGGTGAAGCTGAGAACCATGGTGAAGCTGAGAACCATGGTGAAGCTGAGAACCATGGTGAAGCTGAGAACCATGGTGAAGCTGACAACCTTGGGGAAGAGGATAACACCGGTGGAAAGGAGGCCACTGGTGATGAAAATGACTTCACTGAGGGTGAAGGCATGACTTATCCTATTTCCGAGGAGATTGTCCAACTCCAGGCTAAGGTGGGAACTCAGAATATCACCATCCTGCAGCAGCAGACGTCCATTGATGGACTCAAGAAGCACACTCGGAACCTCGAGGCTAGGCTGAGCATTACCATGAAGGAGGTTACTGAGTTCCGTCGTAGCTTGGGCACTAAGAACCATGAAATTGAGTGGCTTCAGAAGACTTGCAATAATCTGCAAGTATCATTCAACAAGCTCAATGAGCAGGTGACCAAACTTAGGAGGGAGGGTATCTACGAACCTCCTCCTGGGCGTAGGCCCGCTCCTGCTGCTCAGTCGGTACCCGCTCCGCCCGCACCCCCAGCAGTAGGCGCTGCGACGGCTATGCATCAGCCACCTCCAACTGAGACCTCGCCCTTTGGGTCTCTCTCGGCGCCTCTGCCTGAGTTTAACCATCGCAAGACGGAGGTGCAGCCTTGGCTTGATCTGGTGAATGAAACCATGATCCTTGCGAATGTGCGTCCTGAGGCTCGCGTTACTGCAGCCACTCGTGCATTGGACGAGGTGGCCCGCAGGGCAGTGTATGGCGCTAAGAAGCAGGCGCATGGACCATTTGGGTGGCCGGAGTTTTGCACCGCGCTGAAAGAGGCATTCATGGTCAAGAAGTCCGACCTGGAATTGCGCGGAAGCCTTGAGCATATCAAGTGTCATGACCGTCCGGTGCAGGAATATGCGGTCGAGTTGGAGGCCGCAGCAGGCTCGCTCCAGAAGCCCTTGTCTGAGGAGGAGATGATGCACCTCTTTATGAAAGGCCTCCCTGTCAACCTGCAAGAGGCACACATGATCGGCGGCATGACCAATTGGACGACTTACAAGGAGCTGAAGGAGCAGGTGATCAAAACTGACACCGTCATTCGCACATATATCCATGGTCCTGCAAAGGCGGACCAGCAGCCCCGTGTTGAGGGCTCCGGTGGTCGTGGGAACCGGCCCCAGAACGCCAATGGCGGAGGCGGTTCGAATAAGCGACCTTTCCAGCAGCGTGAGCACCAGCCTGGACCACAGGCCAAGAGGGCTAACGGGGGGGGAGGTCATGGCCCTAACAAGCCGGACTTCTCCAAGATGTGGTGTCACGGCTGTGGATTTATTGGACACATCCAAAAGCAGTGCCGTAACAAGAACCCAATCAAGTACTCTGGGAAGCCGAAGCCAGGCGGCGCGGGACCTTCTGGAAAGAAGGATTTTCAGAAGCCCAACTAGGGTGTGGGTACCTAGTTGGAGGAGTAGATCGAGTGGATGAGGCATATGTGCTATGTGATGATGATCTATTAAAGCTAGAGAAGCTTGCTGATTGCAAAATCTCTTGTTTGTTTGCCTCTTCTTTTAATAAAAACTCTGTTTTTTACCCTCGATCGTACCCACTTGAGAACATCACCATGGCAGCAATGCAAGATAAGTTTTCAATCATTTTTTGTGGCTTGGACATTCTGCCTTTGGTCATTGAGATTGTGAGTCGTTGCACTCAAGAGCACCCCCTGACTTCGGTCGCGTTGGTGACTCGCACAGTGAAAGGCGAATTGTTCCATGCGCTTCGTGGATGGCCGGTCCTAGCGGCGTGGGACAAGGGACACCATGTGTGGTGGACCAACTCTCAGTCACATGGACGCGCTCGTCGCAACGTCAAGGCGTACTTCAAATCCTCGACGAGTATTGTGGCATGTCCTATTCGCCCAAAGCATCAACAAAATTTGTTGCTTGCGGGTAGCGTGAACGGGGAAAACGCAAAAATCCTTGTTGACACGGGTGCAACTGTTTCCCTCTTTGACGAAAAGTGGGCCACAGCACGCACGATCCTCGTTGAAGGACCGTCTCGCCCCATTCGCCTTGGTGATGATAGCATTATCCCAAGCAAAGGGCAGACACGGATCAACATGGATATTCAGGGTTATCACGAAAAAATTTGCGCGTATGTTTTACCCCTTCTCGCAAGCGTCGACCTTGTCCTTGGAATGGATAGGCTTCGAGCGAATGAAGTCAAGCTCGATTTCCAGGACAATATTGTCTCATTCTCAAAGAATGGTGACACAGTCCAATGGCAAGTGCCTAACGACTTGATCACAAACGAACAACAAACGTCGGAGCGTCCCGATGTGAGTTTTGCGCTCGCAAACGAGTTCGGACAGCATGTTCGACAAGCCGATACCTTCTTTGTGGTACAGCTTGAGAATGATGAACACGAGATGCCTGGGGTCGAGGATTTTCCGCCTCAGATGAGAGCACTGGCGGACGAATTTGCAGAGGTTTTTGAGCCCATCCCAGATGGCCTTCCTCCAGACCGTGCTGTCGGTCACACCATCCCAGTGGAGCCTGGAAAGCTCCCACCGTTTAGACCTCTGTATCGCCTCAGTCCAGCTGAGTACGAGGAGGCTAAACAAAAAATTGAGGAGTACCTCAGGAAGGGATGGATTGAACCAAGCGCATCACCTTACGGAGCGCCGATCTTGTTCGTGAACAAAAAGGGCGGAGGGTTACGCATGTGCGTAGACTACCGTGCTCTGAACAAGATAACGGTGAAGAACAGGTATCCCCTACCGAGAATAGAGGACCTGTTTGACAAACTCCAGGGTGCCCAGTGGTTCAGCGCATTGGACCTCGCACAAGGGTATCGCCAATTGCGCATCACTGAAGAAGATGTACCCAAGACGGCTTTTCGATCGCCGTTTGGTCATTTTCAGTGGCGAGTGCTGAGCTTTGGCTTGACCAATGCTCCTGCATCTTTCCAAAGAGCTATGAATGATGTCTTTCGCGAGGCGATTGGACAGTTCGTTCTAGTCTATTTGGATGACATCTTGGTTTATTCCAAGACGGAAGAAGAGCACACGCGACACCTTAAATGGGTGTTAGGGAAACTCCGAGAGCATAAGTTCTATGCTCGCCTATGGAAATGTTATTTCTACAAACGCGAGTTGGAATATCTTGGCCATCTCGTGGGAAATGATGGTCTCAAAGTAGACCCAAAGAAAGTTGTCGCAGTCCAAAACTGGCCGGTGCCACAAGATGTGGGTCAAATCAGGTCGTTTTTAGGAATGGCGAACTATTTTCGTCGATTTTTGCAGAATTATTCTACCGTTCTTGCTCCATTGACGGCCCTCACTCGCAAGAGTAGTGCTTGGCAATGGACACAACAATGCCAAAAGGCATTCGACGAGGTCAAGCGAATGCTGACCAATGCTCCGGTACTGCGACAAAGCCCTATGAGGTTGTTACTGACGCCTCATTGATTGGGATTGGGGCGGTCCTCTTGCAAGAAGGGAGACCAGTGGCATTTGAGAGTCGAAAGCTCTCCCCGGCAGAGCAGCGCTATACGACGTCCGAACAAGAACTGTTGGCGGTCGTTTATGCGCTACGCACATGGCGATGTTATCTGGAGGGTGTGGACTTTGTGGTTACGACTGATCACTGTCCAAACACCTATTTCGCCACCCAAGCCACGCTTACTCGACGTCAAGCCCGATGGGCAGAACTCCTTAGTGGGTTCACCTTGGATATTCGATATCGAGCAGGTTCGACGAGCCTGGCTGACCCCCTCAGCAGACAGCCGATAGGGGCAGCAACATGGCTAGACGACACAGAAGATGCGGCAGTATTTTCTGCTTGCTTCAGTGTGCTAGCAACGGCTCGAGTGAGGGAGATTACCTTCAGTGGTTTTCTGAAACGCATCCGCACAGGGTATCAGATTGACCCCTGGTTTCAGAACCCACGAAACACGAAGGAACTCAAGTGGGAGCACGAGCTGTGGTGGCGTAAGAATGAGATTGTTGTACCTCACGTGGGTAACCTGCGGAATGATATTCTGGAAGAAATGCATGTCGCTAAGTACGGAGGACACCTAGGGGTCAAGAAGACGAGGTGGGCCTTGAGTGATGTGTACTGGTGGCCGGGATTGGGCATTGAGGTCCAACAATTCGTGGCGCGATGCGATGCATGCGCACGAAATAAAACGGACACAAAGAAGCCTGGTGGTTTGCTTCAACCACTCGAGATCCCGAATGAACCTTGGGAGAGCGTATCCTTGGATTTTATCACGGATCTTCCCAAGTCTCGCGATGGCCATATTGCGATCCTAGTGTTTGTGGATCGTCTGACAAAAATGGTGCATTTCGTGGCTACGACAACTGACGTATCTGCGGAAGATACGGCCAAATTGTTTGTGGCGCACGTTTTCCGCTTACACGGGTTACCACGTGTCTTGGTGTCCGACCGGGATCCGCGCTTCACAAGCCGGTTCTGGAAAGAAGTCACACGGACACTAGGGACGAAGCTCAAGATGTCATCGGCGTTCCACCCACAAACAGATGGGCAGACGGAACGAACAAACCGGACACTTGAATAGACGCTTCGTTCATTCATTGGCCCAACTCAGGATGATTGGGACGAGTTGTTGCCTGTCGTTGAATTCGCAGTGAACAATTCAGTTCATGAAGGTACACGTGAGAAACCTTTCATTCTGAACTATGGTCGGCATCCCACAACACCTGCTACGCATGGGATCGGTGGATTGAAAATTCCTGCCGCTAAAGACTTTGTTGGCAAGCAGCAAGAAGCGCTTAAGTCTGCTCGCCATTGGCTGCAACTCTCTCAGCAGCGACAAAAGTCTTACGCCGACATGAAACGCCAGGAAGTCTCATTTGAGGTTGGAGACAAAGTTTTGTTGAGCACGAAGAACATTCGTCTCAAAATCCCTAGAGCACGAAAGCTGTTCCCTCGATGGATTGGGCCATTCGAGGTGATCAAGCGTGTTGGTGTGGTAGCCTACAAGCTTAAGCTACCTGATACACTACAGATTCACGACGTCTTCCACGTGTCTCTGTTGAACAAGTACGTTGCAGGGGGTAAGTACTTGCCGCCACCAACGATCGTCCTGGGGGAGGAACTATTTTATGAAGTCGAACGAGTGCTAATGCATCGTGATCGACAGCGCGGCCGCACGACAGTACAAGAGTTCCTCATCAAGTGGAAAGGCTACGGGCCTGAACACAACTCATGGGAGCCAGAAGAGCATCTGACTGAAACTGCAGTTCAGTCATACATGGCAGATCTGGCCCGGCGAGCTGCCGCACAACCAGTGGATGGTGTTGACCCTGGTCGTAATGTGACACGGCGTGCTCGAAGCGCTCGTCCTCAAAAGCACCGTAAGGCAACGGGGACGTTGCCACCTAGGGGGGGAGGAGTGTAACGCATGACCTACTCTGCCTAATCTACGGCTAACTTCCTAAAGTCAAACATCGAGAGACTTCCTCGATGAGAAATGACGTGAAGGAAATTGGGAAGGTTGAGTTGGAGAAGAACATTGCTTTGGTTTTCCCAACCCTCAACCTGGAGGCTTGGAACTTTCCAACCCAACAAATGTGAAGGTTGGGAAGTTTTCCAACCCAACCAAATGAATGTGCAAGGTTGGATTTCCAACCAATGGGAAGTTGACAGTTGTTGTTACAATCCACACAAAGTTTAAAACAACCATACAATTGTGCTAAGTTGGGTTTTCCCCAACCAAACTAAAGTGCCACATAGGCTCCAAGCCTATTAGCTCCCCAACCATGGAAGCCATGGTTGGGAAGAGCCCCAAGGGGTATGATGGAAGGGGTTGGAGCTTTCAAGCTCATTCCTACTTCCCAACTCCAACTTACCAACTTGGAAATGGGATCTCTCTAAGTTACTTTGGCTCTCCTAACAAGCCCTCCTACACAACTAGACTTGTGTTATTTTCAAGGATAAGCTCTACAAGAAGCTACTTATCTACCCAAGTTTCTTCAAGAGCTACAACTTCTCCTCTCAAGATCCTTTAAGCTTAGGCTAAGGCTTGATTATCCCTTGGTGGGGTTAATTAGATAATTTCAAGCATTGTAACTTTGATTTTATATAAATTGTCAAGGAGGATTTACATTGAACCCGCGGTTGCCTGTTGTTATAAGGGTCGTGGTTGTTACAGGCTCTCAGCGAGCTTCCTCACGCAATATCATCCCTCCCCATCGAATGGGAGTGCGGAGTCCGCACTCAGAGCTCCACTTCTCATGAGCAGAAAGAGTATAACACCTCGCTAATCACTGGGTCAAACGAGGGTGTTATTTTGGCGCAGCGGAATGACCTTACTAACACTAGCCCACGGGCGTTACAGAGAGAATCCGACGTCAAAGTGCGGGCCGCCCTTCAAAGTGCGACGTCACACCGACCCAGCCCAGACGCACGTGCTGACACTGAGGTAGATGTGCCGTCCATTGCCCCCGCCCTTTCTTTTCTGCAGTAAATGTGCTCCCATTTCCACGTTGTGCCGGCAATGAAGGCACTGCTGCAGCTGAAGGCGGCGTGGGGCGTGTGGGCGGGCAACAGCAACGCCACCACGACGTGCACCCCCCCCCCCCCCCCCCTCCCCCCCTCTTCCCCCTCTTCCCCTCCCTACTCTCCCCTCCCAATTGCATTCCCTGTACCTGCAGTGAAGGTGCTGCTGCAGCTGATGCGGTGTGGGGCGTGTGGCCGAACAACAGCAACGCCACCGCGACGTGCTCCCCCCACCTTCCCCTCTTCCCCTCCCCACTTTCCCCTCCCAATTGCATTCCCTATACCTGCAGTGAAGGTGCTGCTGCAGCTGAATTCGGCGTGGGGCGTGTGGCCGAACAACAGCAACGCCACCACGACGTGCTCCCCCCCCCCCCCCCCCCCCCCCCCTTCCCCTCTTTCCCTCCCCACTCTCCCCTCCCAATTGCATTCCCTGTACCGGCAGTGAAGGTGCTGCTGCAGCTGAATGCGGCGTGGGGCGTGTGGCCGAACAACAGCAACGCCACCACGGCGTGCTCTGCATGGGATGGCCTCACCTGCCGCCCCAAAGGGCTCGTCGTTGCCCTGTGAGAATCGTTCCGCCACTCACTGTTCTCGTTACCCTAGATTTCTGCTCGGTGCTGTGTGTCTCCTTTTATTAACATGTCCTAATTGCCCTTGTTGCTGTAATTGCCTCCCAGTTAAGCCCTGGTCTATGTCACAGGCGTTGTATTGGTGTCCATAGCCTAGGGTACGAATCCAGCTAGCCACGTTTTTCGCCTGAAATTGTGGTGGAGCAAAAATTTGATTGTGGTAACCCAACTCCGAGGTCCCTGCAAAGCTAACCCCCTGATCCAAGCCAACGAGGACGTTTGATACCAGGGGCAGCACAGGGGTAACGCCTCCAGTCTTACACAAAGGGGTTACCTGTTGCAGCCTGCTGAATAACCCTCGATTTAGCCAACCTAGTTGAAGGCACCGGGAGTTTCTATGCCCCCTCAGCACTCCGTCGTTGTTACTCCTCATTGGCCCCCTCTGTCAGAATGAGAAACGAGAATGAATGACTAGAATGAGAGTTGGGTACAAATAGGTCAAACCTAACCCTAGAAATGAGTACCCACTATAGGCTAACCCACTGTAGCATAAACAAGCACAACATACAATGTTTGACACACCCCCATAGGCAAAGTGGGGGAGAACAAGGGGTTACAAGACCAGTCAAAGCAAAGCAAAGCTCAAGGCGGATCTCAAGGATACCACACAAGTTCCGAGCACAAGCAAGCGGTCACAAGACCAGTTCACATGCAGATTTATAAAAGAACAAGAGATACAGTGATCACAACCTAGCAAGAGTAAGCATGCAGGTATATATATATAGAGATCACTGTACAAGCAAAGTCAAGAAGTGAGCAAATGAGGGACAGTAGGCACGAGGCCTAGAACAGTACAGAAGCGCTGATGGTCACAAGGCTGAAGCGCCTTGGTGAACACGTCAGCAGTGTTGGCCCGAGTGGCCACGTAACGCAGACAAAGCTGACCTCGCTGCTGCAGCTCTCGAGCAAGAAAGTAGCGCAGAGCAATGTGCTTCGTCCCGTGCTCCAGTCTGTGCTCCTGACACAAGGCAATGGTGGCCTTGTTGTCGACGTACAGCACTGGAGGAGAACGAGGCTGCTCTCCAAGGTCAGTCAGCAGGTAGGTGAGCCAGCGAAGCTCCTGGGCAGCCATGGCCGTGGCGTAGATCTCAGCCTCACAACTCGAGCTGAGAACAGAAGAAGAGCGAGTAGAGCGCCAAGAGACAGAGCCAGAGCCAAGGCTGAAGGTGTAACCCTGGGACGACCGCTGAGTAGCCTGGTCGTCTGCCCAAGAAGCGTCTGAGTGCCCAGTGAGAACAGGCCGGTCTCGCCCTCCAAGCACTAGCCCCATGCCCGACGTACTGCACAAGTAGCGCAACACCCTCTTAGCTGCATCCATGTGCTCCTTCCGGTGACGGCCGGGAGCGACATAGCGTGCTAAGATGCTGAGAGGGTATGCAAGGTCAGGTCGAGTGCAGGTCATCAGGTACATGAGGCAGCCCACAAGCTCTGGATACGGACCACTCGGCTCTACGGACTCATCCGAAGGCAGAGCTGAGAGCGAGTGTCCCGTAGGCAGAGGAGTGGACTGAGGCGAGGAGTACGTGAAGCCGAAGCGCTGAAGGACCTGCTGCACCATGTGTGACTGAGTCAAGGTGATGGTGCGCCGTGCTCTGTCCCGGGTGATCCGCAAGCCAAGATAGCTTGTCAGTTCACCCAGGTCTGTGCACGTGTGTCTCTTCTGCAGCTCGGACTTCACGTGAGCGAGACCAACTGTGTCAGAAGTGGCAAAGACCAAGTCGTCGACGTACACGAGGAGCGCGGGGCCGTCCAGGGCGAGGGCGAGGCCGTTCTTGGGGCCGTGAGAGGCTAGCGCGGGGCCGACGGGGGCCTTAGGGGGCTAGCGCGGGGCCGTTCGGGGGGCCGTGAGAGGCTAGTGAGGGGCCGACGGGGGCCTTAGAAGGCTAGCGCGGGGCCTAAGGGGGGCCGTGAGAGGCTAGCGCGGGGGCCGCACGGGGCCATTCGAGGCTAGCGCGGGGCTGATCGGGGGCCGTGAGAGGCTAGCGTGGGGCCACACGGGGCCGTGAGAGGCTAGCGCGGGGCCGTAAGGGGCCTTAAGAGGGCGAAGGGAGGGGCCGTGAGGGGCCTTAATAATGAGGCGCTCGAGGCGCGGGAAAAGGCGGCGCTCGAGGGCGCGGTTAGCGGAAACGGTGGGCCCTAACGTTTCGGTCCTAGGTGAAACCTAGGCTCGTAATACCATGTCAGAATGAGAAACGAGAATGAATGACTAGAATGAGAGTTGGGTACAAATAGGTCAAACCTAACCCTAGAAATGAGTACCCACTATAGGCTAACCCACTGTAGCCTAAACAAGCACAACATACAATGTTTGACACCCTCTGTCCTCTCCTTTTGTGTCGACTCGAAAGCAGATTCTATGCCCCCTCAGTACTCAGTCGTTACTCCTCATTGGCCCCCTCTGTCCCCTCCTTTCCCCCACAGTGTTTCACTGTGTCACCCTTCCGCTGTCTGCTCCTCTTGATCGTGTTGGATTGTGTGTGTGTGTGGGAGCATTGCAATCCGGACAAGGGGGAAGATGGGATGAAGGGTGTGGGGGGTGGGTGGGATGGGGGGGGACTGGATATTTGGGAAGGGAACTGGGGTGGACGGGAGATGGGGGAGGAATGGGAGCTGGTTGGGGAAGGGAACTGGGGCGTGCATGCATGCGTGTGCTGACAGAGATTCCACGTTAATTTCGGCCTAATTGGAATTTTTTTAGTTACTCCATACCTGCCTCCATCACCGGTCTTTCCACTCTGCAACTCCTGTGCATCACCACCCACCCACCCACCACCCACCCCTCCCCCTCCACTACAGTCTACATCCATCTTGCATTGCATCTACCATACCTTTCCGTCATTTGCCAAGGCCTCGCCCCAACGTCGTGCTGCTCTGCCCTTCAATCTCGTTTTTGCATTCACATGCCACAACCCTACTGACCATACCCTCTTCCTGCCCTTGCATGCCTTCCTTTCATGCCTCCCTTGTATGCCTAGCCGGACCACAAGCTGCATGCCTTCATTGCAAGAGATAATTCCATTTTATCCTCCTCTTTCCATCTCCACTGTTGTTCGTGCTCCCATCCCATCCCGCAGTGATCTGACCAACATTAATCTGTTCGGGCCCCTTCCATCCCTCGCCAGTCTCACTGACCTCACGCACCTGTGAGTGCTGCTCTTCCATTGTTCCAAACGAGGTCAACTGAATGTTGGACTAGGCCTTGTCTATCCAATATGCCCATCCAGCACCCTCCTTTCACTCCTCTGCACCCCCTGATCCTGCTCTTTCCAGCTTATTTGATTGTTGCTCCCGCAATTTTTCAAGACTGGAGCCATTTCCCTTCCCTTCCACAACCACCATTTTCTTTCTGACCCTTTTCCCACGTCGTTCATTACCAATCGCTTGTACAAGTACTTTTGAGTCGACTCAAAAGTCGTACTCGTCAAGTCCTCGTTTATTCCAAATAATAAAATCCTTATTTCCCCTGAACCCTGAACCCTGCATCCCCGTGGCTGCCCCATGTGGTCCCATTTCCCACTAACTGCACTGTACTACCCCGTGACGGTACCGTACGTTCTTGTATGGCAATGATGCTAACAGCTAGCGTAGGCTTCTCCTTTTGAATCGACTCGGGGTAGTACAGTGCAGTCACTCCTTTCCAAAGAAGTTTGGTTCGAGTTTCTGCAGAGCAATTTCGGAGATCGGATATCATTGCAATGTACTCTTTATGGAATTTGAGTTTCATTAAAATAAGCTTAGATTAGAGACTTGCAAGACGTTACATGTTGTTTAAAAATATGTTTAGTTGCCTTATCCTTGCATTCAAAATAAACATAACAGAAGCTTAGGTAAAAGCAAATTATTCACACCTAAACATGCACATAAAACAGCATCCTAATCCCACCCTAACTAGTCAAACATACCGCTCGGTAGGTTGATATGCATCATCCTACAACCTGCTTCTCATGCTCCCGTACACTGTCTCCCACTCCACCCCAACTCTCGTGCTCTAGGCCGAGCGTACCCCTGCGTCCACTGCTTCCTCGCATGTTCTACCCTCTCATGCGTCAGCTGCTCCGCACCTGGCGCTCTCCAGTCATGCCTTCACTGCTCCTTGCTTTGTCCTCTCCATCCATGCCTAACCTGCTGCCCCCCTTGCGCCACTACCGTCTTTAATGCTGCCCCCCTTTCTCTATCCGCTCGTTCCTTTTCTGCTGTCCCCCTAGCTCTCTCCACTCATGCCTGTTCTGCTGCACCCCCTTGCTTTCTCCTCCATTTGCCTCGCGTTTTGCCCCCCCTTGCACACTCCTCACATTGCATCTCCTGCTGCCCCCCATGCTAACTCCACTCTTTTGCCTCTCCTGCTGCCCCCCATGCTAACTCCACTCTTTTGCCTCTCCTGCCCCCCATGCTGACTCCACTCTTTTGCCTCTCCTGCCCCCCATGCTGACTCCACTCTTTTGCCGTGGGGCTGCCTCCCATGCTGACTCCACTCTTTTGCCTCTCCTGCTGCCCCCCATGCTGACTCCACTCTTTTGCCTCTCTTGCTGCCCCCCATGCTGACTCCACCAATGCCTCTACATCCGTATTGATGTCTCCTCGCAAGTATGTGCTGCCTCTCCTGCTGCCCCCCTTTGTAAACTCCACTCATGCCTCATCTGCTGCCCCCCTTGTCTTGTCACCCCACCTCTTGGCCCAATTGCCTCCCCATCTTTTGCCACTCTTGTCTCTTTTGCCCTTCCTCCGCCCCTGGCCCCCCTGCTTCTCATCCTCATCCTCATCATCTTCCTCCTCTTCCTCCTCTTCCTCCTCTTCCTCATCTTCCTCTTCCCTCCTGCCTCCCTTGCCTCTGCCTCTCTTGTGCGTTCTGCCCTTCCTCCGCTCACGCCCCCTCTGTTTCTCATCATCCTGTCCCTCCTCTTCCTCCTCCTCTTCCTCTTTCTCTTCCCTCCTGCCTACCCTGATTTTCCCTCTCTTCTGCCTTCTGCCCTTCCTAAGCCCTTGCCCCCCTCGTTTCTCATCCTCCTCCTCCTCCTCCTCTTCCTCCTCCTCTTCCTCATCCCTCTTGCATCCCCTGATTTTGCATCTCTTGTGCCTTTTGCTCTGCCTCCGCTCCTGCCCCCACTGTTTCTCCTCCTCCTCCTCCTCTTCCTCCTCCTCCTCCTCCTCCTCCTCCTCCTCCTCCTCCTCCTCCTCCTCCTTCTCCTCGTCATCCGTCTCCATGTCCTCCCTGTCGTACACCTCCTGCTCTTCCTCCTTCAGGTCCTTCCTCTCCTCATCAGGCTCGGCCGTCCCCTGGAACGCCTCAAATTCTGACTCGTGAACATACAGCCCACGGTCGCCCCACTTGAAGCCCTGCACGTCTGTGTTGTACACGGGGGTGTGGCGTCTAAAGTGGTCTTTGATGATCCACCGCACATCACGGTGCAAACCCGTCATCCATTCAGTGTTTTTCCGGTGGGAGTTGGAGACGTTCAAGTCAATCTTCTTAACCTTTGCCAAGCCCTGGTCTATCTGAAAAAGCATAGCAAGGTATGGGAAGGAGGGGAAATAGAGACTTCAGTGGACACTTGCGTGCAGAGTTTACGGGCTGCGCAAATAGCCCCACATACCGTGCCGGCGCGCTAGTAGAGCATGCCAAGCTAGAGCATACTGTCAGTTGAGCAATAATGTCTTACCACCATGATTGACCAGGCTATGTGGTAGGCTTTGACGCACACTCGGCGCCCGACACAGAGATTCCGAAATGATTCCCGGACCGCATCTACAAATTGGCCGCTGGCGAACGGGAGCCCTTCTCTGTTGTTCCCCCACGAGCTGACCCGCTGATTCCTTCCTGCGTGCACGCATGACAATGCGTGGCAGCATGTGACATGCGTGATCATGCATGGCATGGTTAGGGGTTGTCCATAGGGTATTGATGAAGAGGAGGGCGGTATAGAATGAATGGAGGGAGGGCGGGAGGGCGGGAAAGAAGGGGAGGGCGGGAGCGAAGGGGTTTAGGGAGAGAAGGGGAGGGCGGGAGATTTCGGGAAGGGCGGGAGAGAAGGGGAGGGCGGGAGAGGAGGGCGAAAGAGAAGGTGAGGGTGATAGAGAAGGGGAGGGCGGTAGAGAAGGTGAGGGCGGGAGAGAAGGGGAGGGCGGTAGAGAAGGGGAGGGCGGGAGATTAAAGGGGGGGCGAGAGAGAAGGGTAGGGCGGGAGAGAAGGGGAGGGCGGTAGAGAAGGGGAGGGCGGGAGAGAAGGGGAGGGCGGGAGATTAAAAGGGGGGCGGGAGAGAAGGGTAGGGCGGGAGAGAAGGGGAGGGCGGGAGATTGAAGGGGGGGCGAGAGAAGGGGAGAGTGGGAGAACAACCAACGTATTGCTGTCATGAGAATGTGTTTGCACATGCGCTACAAGCTTGGCCAAGGAGCTATGGTATGTAGTTGCGTGCTACTCGCCTCATTCACCGCACTTCATGGTATGTACTTCATAATCGTGGGGCATGCACGAGGGGTGCATGAACAGACATGTCGATAGGGGGAGTAAAACAGCAACAGCAGTAAGTACTCACTCGGTTGGTATTTTTTCCACATCTTCTTCTTCTTCTTGGTGCCCATCCAAAGATCGCGGGCACGCAGGCCTTCCACCTTCTTGCCGAAAGTTACGAGCACTCTGCGCTTGAGGTGGAAGCCACACTCGTTCTTCCATGACGTCCAAGCGCGTTTAAAGACGTCGACGATGTTTTTGTCCTCCATAGCCTCTCGCAGCTGCGTCATGTTGATGATGTGCATCTCGCTGATAACTTGATACAAAACCTGCAGGCGCTGTTCGAGCGTTGGGTAGAAGTCTATGGCATCGTCTGGCCATTCTAGGCACATCCGGTCCCGCCCCACGACGAAATGAACCTATGACGGGTGGATTGGAAAAGTAAAATCGAATGATGCCTCCGAATGAAGGGCGGAATTCTGAGGTTGAGAGAGAGGGCTGTTGCTATCACTGCACCGCATGCCACCCACACCAACAACAGCACCATGAACAGCAGCTCTGGTTGAGGTAAGGGAGTGATGGGAGAGAGAGGGGGGAGAGAGGGGATGAAATCGTCCGAGTGAAATCATATGGGAGAGGGGGGCAGAGTGTGAGAGCACCGTACGCCCAGCGTTGTTGTTCATGTTTTACTCTTACTAGGAGTCACAACCCCCTCTGCAGCCCGGCCCGCTACACGCTGCGCCGCATGCCACACGCGCGACCAGCAGCATCGTTTGGAGGGGCTCTGGAAGAGGAGGGAGAGGGATGGGATAGAGAGGGGAGGGGGGAGCGGCGGATAGAAGGGGTTGGGCGCGTGGGGTTGACAGCGAGGGCTGCTGCTATCTCTGCGCCGCATGCCCCCGCATGAGACTAGCAGCACCGTCTGGAGGGGCTCTGGAAGAGGAGGGAGAGGGATGGGATAGAGAGGGGAGGGGGGAGCGGCGGATAGAAGGGATTGGGCGCGTGGGGTTGACAGCGAGGGCTGCTGCTATCTCTGCGCTGCATGCCCCCGCATGAGACTAGCAGCACCGTCTGGAGGGGCTCTAGAAGAGGAGGGAGAGGGATGGGATAGAGAGGGGAGGGGGGAGCGGCGGATAGAAGGGGTTGGGCGCGTGGGGTTGACAGCGAGGGCTGCTGCTATCTCTGCGCCGCATGCCCCCGCATGAGACCAGCAGCACCGTTTGAAGGGGCTCTGGAAGAGGAGGGAGAGGGATGGGATAGAGAGGGGAGCTAGGAGAGGTGGGGCAGAGTGTGAGAGTATCGTACCCCCAGCGCCACCTCCCTGAAGCGAGGCGTATTGGGAGTGCCTATCCCACTGTGGCCATGCCGCTATCACTGCACATAATGCCACGAACACGCTGACCAGCAGGAAGAGGTGGGGGAAACTTGGGGTTGAGAGAGAGAGCTGCAACTATCACTGAGTCCCATGCCACCCATTGCGTAACACTAAAACATACTCACCTTCAGCAGCTTGGGTGTGGGCATCCCACGCGTTCGACGGACCGGTACGTCGACCGTCGCTGGGCTTTCTGGCGCCATGCTTGGATCGAGGCCCCCTGCAGATGGGCCGCTCGACAGAGACGCTAGAGGAGGAGGCCTAGACGGAGGGGTGCAGGGTTTGACAGGTCCTTAGGAACCTGCCCGTGCCTTGAGTGCAGCAATTTCGCGATCCCGCTGGGCAAGCTCTCGCATGAGCTGCTCCACAGTCTTGCCGCCAGCCAAATCGGGCCGACTGGATGCGCCAGGTGTACCCATGCTCTCACCCCTCCCCTCCTTAGTTGCCGGATCCATTTTCGCGTCTCCTCCATCTCCCCTGCTCTCCCGTACATCCCACGTGGAGCCTTCCACACCGCCGCCACATTCACCCAAGGCATTTGCCCACACACCTCCTCCCACACCGTCATTGGCTGCTGAGGGTTCGTGCCGCTTTGTTGCCCCTTCGATTTTCACATGAACCGAGTGACCCCCCGTATGCTTGGGGGGCGGGTCTGTCGCTTCCCTGCCAAACCGCGCTGACCCCCAAGCCATCGGATCTCCCTTCCCAGCCGAATCCATCGGCTCGCGTAACGCAGCATACGGGTCCGCGGCGTTCCGATCATGAGAGCTTGATCGACATCGTAGCCCCATGGACTCGTAAAAATCCAACTCCCGCCTCGCCTTGCTACGCATACCCACAATTTTAGCTTCGAATCGAGGTCTCTGGCGCTTGCCATGTGGTTTCGCACGACGCACACTCAGTTTGCAGCTCTTCACCCGTCCCCTCCCCGATTTTCGCTCTCCGTTGCCCTTCTTGGGCTTCCGCACACTCCTCTTCAAAGGCCGAGCCTTCTCCTCATCCTCGCTCTCCGGCTCCAACTCCTCATCCTCCTCCTCTTCCTCCTCCTCCTCGTCCTCGTATACTTCCTCGCTCCCGGATGAGCTGCCTGACTCGCTGTCGTTGGATTCCTCCTCCGAACCCGACGAGCTCGAAACATACTGTTTCGGGCCTTGTCGAGCTTGTCTCGCATTACGGTCGCGACCGGCCGAGTCCACAGCATTGCGTCATTTGTAAGGAATCACAGCTTCACGTCCGTTCTCTTTCCCATCAGTCATTGCTGCTGGCTCATCCTCATCATGATCGTTACCGCAGCGGCATTCATGCTCGGCATGTTCCTGCTCGTCGCCAGCAGTCACATCCTGCGCATGCCTACCCGAGGGACTGCCCTTTGCCGCCGCAGCCCTGCCGCCGTTGCGCTTTCCACCACCGCTAACTTCATGCTCGGCATGTTCCTGCTCGTCGCCACCAGTCACATCCTGCGCGTGCCTGCCCAAGGGACTGCCCTTTGCCGCCGCAGCCCTGCCACCGTTGCGCTTTCCACCACCGCTAACTTCATGCTCGGCATGTTCCTGCTCGTCGCCACCAGTCACATCCTGCACGTGCCTGCCCGAGGGACTGCCCTTTGCCGCCGCAGCCCTGCCGCCGTTGCGCTTTCCACCACCGCTAACTTCATGCTCGGCATGTTCCTGCTCGTCGCCACCAGTCACATCCTGCGCGTGCCTGCCCGAGGGACTGCCCTTTGCCGCCGCAGCCCTGCCGCCGTTGCGCTTTCCACCACCGTGGACTTCATGCTCGGCATGTTCCTTCTCGTCGCCACCAGTCACATCCTGCGCGTGCCTGCCCGAGGGACTTCCCTTTGCCGCCACAGCCCTGCTGCCGTTGCGCTTTCCACCACCACGTTGGCCTGCGCGCTTGCCTACCGACCCAGATGAGAAGGCGAACATTACAAGTACATTAGATACACTGTGCAAGTTTAACTTATACTGTGCAATATGCGGCGACGTTGTAATGTGTAACATGAATGTTAGAAACCGTCGAGATCACACCCACAGCGTACCTAAGCTGACAGGTCCCCCGTCCTTGTCCTCCTCGTCGCCTTCAGACGCAGTAGTTTCCTCACGATGTGGACGAGTGCCTCTTTTTCTTGAGCGGTGCTTACGCCCCCCCCGGTTGTGACGCTTGTCCGCTGACACTGCTGTGAAAACACAATTGGAGAGACAGTATAGGCTAAAAATCAGACATGACTGCAAGCATCGTTTAATGCATCTAGCTGTGATACAACTTTATACACGTCGAATAATCAGCATCTGATACCATAATCACGTACCTTTCTGGCCGGCTATGGGAACGAGATCATCCAAGCGCTTCACACGCTTATCCCTTGGTTTTGGAGGGGATGATACGCCCTTGTTTGCGTATGGCTCAACATTGCAGTCACTGTTTGATTCGTCACCGGATGAAGAGTCACGTCCAGACTCGACTACTTCTCGCGCCGACGACGCATTATTTTTGCGATACTTGTTTACGATCTCGGCGGTCTTATCTGCTGTTACTAACTCGGCATATATTTTTTCCTCGGGCGATTTAGACGAATCAGCCAGTACGATGGCCCCATCT